TCCGATTGCGGTGGCTAATACCGTCACTCGGGCTAGAGCCCCCTCCCCGAGCGCGCCTATGCCCTGACGTGGAGTCTATTCACTGAATGGTGTGTCTCTCGCTGAGAAGACCCCCGTAATTTGCCAGATCAGCGTTGTGCTTTCTTTACGCCGAGAGAAGTTGGAGAGCAGGCTGTCGCCCTCCACACTCAAGGTTACGTGGCTGCCATCTCCGCTCTTATAACGCGGTGGCTGGCAGCACCGTGGGAACGCATAACCTCATCATCCGGTTCCTCAGGGGCGTTAAGCGAATTAATCCACCCCGCCCCCTCTCATGCCCTCTTAGGATCTCGCCCTCGCTACACAAGCCGCGTCAGATCCCTTCGATCCTCGACTCAGTATTTTTCTGTCCCTGAAGACAGCTCTGCTGGTCGCGTTGATATCGATTAGAGGGTCGGGGACCCGGAGGCATTTTTCGGTCAGTGACTCGTGCCTGTAATTGGGCTGGCTTCTCTCACGTCCTGAGACCCCGCCCGCGATATGTGCCCAAGGTTCCTACCACTCCGTTTTAATACGAGGTAGTGAGCCTGCAAGCGCTGCCCTCGGAGGAGGCAGACCCAGCCCTTCTTATTGTCCAGTTCGCGTTTTGCGTATTATCCGGACCGCACTCAGAGTTTAGATCATCTGAGCAGCTCTTCGTCTGTTATAGCGGTCGGCAGCAGGGAAGTGCCGTACCGAAATAAGTTTCCACTAGATTGTGGATGCCTTTCTTTCACTATCAGAGCCGAGATGAGCCGCGTCCCCCGAGAGCGCGTGCACACTCCACTCGGAGCTTCGCATCCTCTCGAGCGCGCGCACGCGGCGCCCCTCTAACAGACATCTGTAGAGCTGCGGGCTGGGTAACACCCAACACATTTGCAAGGTTTTACAATCTGCGAGTGGAGCCGGTTTCCTCAAGGGTATTAGGTAACCCTTGGTGATTGAGGAAACAATTCGGTAGGGTGATGAAACACGCTTGCTGCGCCATTTTCCCTAACACGGAGATACGTGCGCCTTTTTATCTGTCAGTAAAGTTCCCTGTCAGGTGAGCCCTGCAGATTCCTCCGTGGCCCCCAGCACTGACTCAGCGGAGGAGTCACTTGCTGGCCCACTACGTTGTAGGTCTGCCCGCTGGTCAGCCCGCGTTTTGGGTAAAGGTGCCTGCTATGAGTGATCCCCACTAGGCGATCCCATATGCTTATTCCGCCACGGTTAAGTCCCCCCCCTGGGCGGACCCGTGTCTTCCCTCCCCGCTAACCACTCTTTTGCTATGCGTACTCCCCCTTTTTAGGGCTAGTCCATATGTAATTCTGTCATCTATCGCCCTTGGGTAACGGATGGCCTCCGCAGCGTCCTCCCTATCGGGATTGCACGCTTCCCAACGTACTGTCGTATTTTCCTAGAATTATCTAGATGCTCACGACTTCCCAAAAAATATATATAAATCCGTAAAACTTCTGTTGAAGTAGGATAAATTAGGGCCAGGGACACGTTGGAGGACCGCGCCCCCCATGATGTGGGTGCGTCACGCTTGCTTGACTATCTCCTCATCGGGGGTGTTGGTAAGGTGCAGTCATTTTGGCGCTTTCAATGGGCTCCCAATGCGTGGATTTTACAATCAAATCCACTTATAGTGCTGAAGTTCCCCCCGAAGGGGAACGTTCGAGGTTACTAAAGTAACCCTTCGTTCCCCGAGGAGGGGAACGGAAGCACTATACTCCGTCGCCATAATGACTGTCCCTTAGCTGTTGAAAGTCTCTTCAGCTTAAAAAGGATAGCGTCTGCTGGCGCCAGGTGAGCTTATATACTCAGTTGATTGCTTATGCCGCTCACCTGCGCAGGCTTGCGCTGCCAATTCATTCTTAATTGGCCCGTTCAATACTCTTTCAGACGAGTAGCTTCTGAACCGAACCTCCCAATGCGTGGATTTTACAATCAAATCCACTTATAGTGCTTCCGTTCCCCTCCTCGGGGAACGAAGGGTTACTTTAGTAACCTCGAACGTTTCACAAGGTTGTTTTTACAGCATCGATGTTGTAATGTAATTACAATAAATTCTGTTAAATAAACTTAAGCATTTAATTTGTTGCAAAGGCTCATTCGAGAGGAGACTTTTATTCTGACATTATTATTTTTATTCAGTTTTTAAATTAATTTCACTAATATAACTGTTATTTAATAATAGTAATATTAAAATGTTCATATGATTTATTTACAAAAAGTTAAACAGTTTGTAAAGTCATATTTTCTGTCTTTAAGTAGATTTAATAAATGAGAGACTTGCTTTGTTTACCAAATAAGTGAATCTAATTGAATTTGCATTGTACACATTAAATAAAAGTTAAAAATGTATTATTTTTATTTTATGTATTAAGTTTGTAGTTATGATACTCCTAAAATAATTCAGCATAAATCCGCAGATTTTTTACAAAATTCTCAGCAGAAATAGCAAAAAAAAGTCACAGATTCTGTCTGACCCTAGTAATAATTCATAATTTAAACCAGTGGTTCTCAAACTTTTTTCACCAAGTACCGCCCTAGAAAAAAATTGTCTCTCCAAGTACCACCATAATGACCAGTATTAAAAAATAGCGTCGTAAGCCTAATTTAGCAGCTACAGCTGTGCACAGTTTAAAAAAGAGGCAAATGAATTCCTATTACTAAGAATATGTATTATTGTCAGTCACTTTAAACATTTTAAATGGTTTGAACATTAACTGTGCTTGCAGGTAAAAAAAAATAATTTTTAAATTAAAATGTGCTTTTAAAAGTTCATTAAAAAATGGCACTGTTCTTAAAAAGTAAAAAGAAAACTGCTGTACTTAAATCTAAAGTATTCATAGTAGCCTATTCATCAAAAGCTGGAAATATTGCTTGGACCTCATAAATATAGGCTATATGTCATATTCATACACTTTATGACAAATCTTAAAAATATATGTTAAAATGTACATATAACAGGGTTCATACAGGCACAGCCTAATGAAAATCAAGGAATTTTAAGTACTTTTTCCAGCACCTATTTTTTTATTTTTAAGACTGACATGCTATGTATTGAAGACCTGAAATGTATTCTCAGCAACCCATAAAACATTGCATAGGAATTGATACAAATAAAAACCATTAATAATAATATTTATTAATCCTATAATAATAATATAATAAACCTGCACTAAATGCTTGTGAAATATTTTTTGTACTCAAGTAAAAATACTATTACACTACTAAAATAACAGAAATTTTATTAAATAATACTAATATTAGGTAAAAGTACAAAGTACTCTTTTAAAAAGTACTAGTTGGTAACTTTTGAAAAAAAAAAAAATCAGATTTTCATTATGAAATCACTTTTTTTTAAGTGTAAACCTGATTGAATGGTTTAATTGCTTAAATCCTGAACCTACATGTATAGGAATTTGCACTAACAAAGGAAGTATGATCGATTTTTCCTTTCATGACAATTAATCTTTTTCAATAGCACTGGCAAAACTACCACATAATCTCATGCCATAGAGACACTTTTTGCCCATTTTTTAAACAATATTTTCAAGCTTTGAAAGGTATAATTAAAGTATATGATGAAAAGATTTAAATTTAGCCTTTTGTTTACATATTTTACACTATTTTTCTTTACAATATGGCAAATTTGTTCCATAAATATCTGTACATCACATGTAGATATTTTTTTTTTACTTGATCCTACTTGATCTAACTAAAATACAAACTTTACAAAAAACACAAGTACACTGTCAGTAAAAAATAAAACAAATGACTTCATTATGACAAAAATACATTTACTAAAGCAGTGCTTTAAGAGCCTTATTGTTAATTTTGATAAACATAAGTAACAACATATTGCTTTGACCTGTAATGCTTTAAGACAGATCAGAATACAGCTAAATGTATAAATCGCCCAAATACCTCATCCAGAAACATTTCCAGCATAATTATTTTGTCGTAAAGAAATAAAAAAAGTTCCACCTTTGCTAAAAGTAAGTTTCACCTCACAATACAGCCAAATAAGAAGACCAATAGCATTGTCATCGATCATGCATCAATCTAATTCTAAATACTTGATAACTTTGAATACTTTTGACTAAATTTAGTCAAGAAGCAAAGATAAATAATGTCTACTTTAATAGTGAACAGATCGTGATTGTATTCAATCTGAGCACACACGCAATCATGAGAGAACTTGCAGTTCATTTGAAAAAAAGCCCATATAAGAGCTTGCATATCTTTTTTGCGATTTGCGTACATGAATGAGCTCTCGTGTTAAAATAAAGCACTCGTACCACTAGTACCAAACTAGTACCACAGTTTGAGAACCACTGATTTAAACCATTTAAATGCACTGTGTATTTATTTATTTTTGGAAAGGCTGGTTCGTAAAAAGTGGGATTGGAGAGCCATGTTCACTTATTAGTCGTAGAATGCTTTTACTCCTGTAAATAAGGAACTGTGTGTTTGCAGAACAGGATTAATGACTAAAAGGTGAACTGACAGCTGAATATAAATACAATGTGTATGTGGCCACTGAAACAAAAGCAATTTTTTCAGAGCAATATAAATATGACGGTACCTTTAGGAGTCCACAAACTTATCCATTACGTTTAAGATTAGATTAGTTTAAGAGTTGTGTGTTTGTTTTTGTTTGTTAGTGTATCTATATGAACATGTGTGTGTATTTATGACATATTAGGTATTACGCATATGAATTATGAAGACATTGTCCATGCCCCCATTTTTTTAAAAGGCTTATAAATAATTTTTCAGAAAGTAAAACTGCACCCAGTTTCCAGTGAGGGAAGGTTTTAGGGATGGGATTGTGGTAGGGTGATAAAAAATACGATTTGTACAGTATAAAAACAATGGAAACAAAAACAATTTAAAAAAAGGAGAATTCTCCACAAATCACCAAACAAACAGGTTTGTGTTTGAGTGTGTGTGTGTGTTTGGGTAAGTGTATGCTGATCACTCACTGAGGGAATACGACGATCTGGATAAAAGAGATGAAACAGAAGACCAGGAGCGTACAGGCCACGTAACCACCAAAACGATCATCAACCTTCTTAGCATACTAGAAAACAGACAAGAAAAGATGTCAGAACTGACAAATCTGTGACAAACATAAATGCTGTAAGATATTTTTGATTGCTAAGATGACCCTGAAGCAGGTTTATTTTGCAACCAGAAAGGTGTGTGGAGGATAGCTTTCATTTCAGTTATGAGAATGTTAAACTAATAATAGACTAACCAGAATTCCAAAAACTTTTTTTTGCTTAGAAATTTTTCCTGATTAACCAAAAACAAATGTAAAATAAAATATTGGTGAATAACTATAAAATCGCCACGGTGTAATTTTTACACGTCACATTCTTTTCAAATGTACATAACAGACCTTCAATAAAACATTTAACCCCACCAGTCTTTGATTTTAACTAAATTTGTCTTGTTTAAAATGTTACACAGATGTTTAGACAAAACCAGATCCAAAAACGGAGTGACGCGGTGGCTCTGTGGTTAGCACTGCCGCCTCACAGCAAAAAGGTCACTGGTTCAAGCCTCGGCTGGGTTAGTTGGTGTTTCTGTCTGGAGTTTTCATGTTCTCCCCATGTTCGTGTGGGTTCCTCCGGATGCTCTTGTTTCCCCCACAAGTGCCTTTCACTTTCACTCACTGAATTAGTGTTTATAATAAATACATAAAGTCACAAAGAGTAAAAGAAGGCAATTTGTAGAGGTATTAAAACCCTAAAATACAATGAAAGATGGACAGTCTTACGGTGGGGAAATAAGTTATGTGTAGCATCAGCATCTTATGGCTTATCGGACAGCTCATCAGCCTCCGAGACACAACGCACGATCATGTTCAAACTTTGTTGGTGTTGTTCTCTTTTTTTAAACTATAAAATTATAAGACTAAATAAATAAATAATGAATGATCTAAAAAAAAAAAAAAAAAAACGATTGATTATTAATGAAGTGTGCTCCACAGAGGTGAGTGGGCTTGACAAACACCCTGTAGAAACAATCTTCTCTCTATAAAAAAATACTCCCCCTCCTTACTCTAGCACTTAATTCTCTAGACCCATTTGCATGAAAGTCTTTAAGCTAAGAAACCCCTTAGTTTAAACATTAAGGGTTCCTTTAGTAAAACTTGGGTTGCAAGAACAAAAAGAGTTTTTGCAACCCAATTTTGTCAAAATTGTCAAAATTGTTCCTTCAACCATTGCTACAAAGTCCTAAGTAACCAATTTCCCTTAACAACTTTAGGGGACCAATACAGTTTTCTTAAATGAGCAAATGATTCTTAATGTGCAAACATTTTCACACAAATAAAAATGTTTTCGATAAAAAAAAAACAACAGAATTGTAAAAAACCCTCAAAACTGAACGGTAATAAAACCATTTAAAGAACTATCGATGGCACGTCAATAGGGGTGCATCCATGTAAACTTGCAGTTTTATTCCTAATCCAAAATTTTTTTATACCCATACCCAGGGCTAAACATTAACACCTGCCAACCCACCAAATGCGGGTAGATTTCAGCGGTGGCAGGTAAGACAGACAATCTCACTATCCACTTTGGCTGGTTGAAAATAATTTTCCCAAATAATAATTCTTCAAAGCAGGGTTCAACAATAAGGATGGTCCAATATGCATGCAAAGGCTATCTGAAAATAGAGAAGCAACACGACTGACAAAAATAATTGCCTTCACATGAGCAATAGAAAGCAGGTAAATACCGATTGAGAGGAACACCGGTTGCTTTATTCTTTGAACACATTATTTTTGGGTCTATCCTTAACCGTTTGTGTGTGATCATCCTTTCATTCATATCATACGGTATGTTTTATGTTTCTGTTTTATGTTAATATGGTTTAATTATCATTTTTTTAAACGAAATTGCTTTAATGGGAGATTAACTCCACATTTATGTGTAGTTAACTGGTGATCTGGGACCTTTAGCCAGGACAGATTACTGTGCATATGTTTTGTTAGATAAAAAGTATAGTATACAGCTATTTTTTGCTTGTTTTGACACATTTAAAAATTGTGGCTAATAAATAATTAATTGTTTATGCTTGGTGTGGTCAGAGAAAGATTTGGTAAATCCTTCATTTTGAGCTCTGAAAATTATGTGAAATAAAAACTAATTGTAGTACTATGAAACCATGACCCATTTGCTCATGATTATTGAGCAGGCCCATACACGACGCACAAAAAGTGCAATGAATGAGGATGCATGTGGAGATAACGCAAAATCTAAAACAAGTAATTTTAGCATGTAAAAGTCATATTTATGTGTATAAAATATATTTTCCCAACTATAAAATTTCAGCTAGTGAAAATGGTGAGTGGCTAGTAATGTTGGAAATCTACTAGCCACAGTGGCTGTTGATCAAAATAGTTAATATCCAGCCCAGCCCATACCCCTTCCCCATGGCCCTTCAAACAGAATGTGAAGAGGAAGGGCTTGAAATTTTACTCCTAAGAATTGGGACAGCACTACAGCACCTGCACACGTCATCATACAGTATGTCATTGAGATCTCTTGCTTCATATGAGATTAGATGATTGCGACTGCTGTAGTTATTCCACTTGCATTTTTTTGATATTTATCTTTAGGAAATCACTGAAGGCATATATCATGTCATGCTGATCTAATGTGGCAATAAGATTGTAACTGTACTGTGCATTGTCCAACTGTACGCTGGCCATATTTATAAATGTAAACGTACAAAAACAACCTTGACCTTGGGGGAAGGTCTATGGGGTAGATTTGGGACTGGGCCTTAGTGAAGATTCAAAAGGCTCTACATTATCCCAGCCGAGTTTCATAGCTCCTTCAGACATACAGTAATGTTTAGATCGACTCAATAAGGGAACGTCTTGACTTGCTTAACAGAAAGAAAATGTCAGAGATCATGTGTACTGCAGAGTTATTGCAAGACAAGCATTCATGGTTTGTTACGATCTGTTTATGATCAATAGAAAGCGCCTGTTGCCCTATGTTGCCAGAAATTCTAGTGAAATGCTTAATACAGGTAAGGTTAGGTAAGGTTGAAAGTTTTTTGCAATGCACTTTATGAAATCCCAAACCTCAAGGATATTTTCATCCACAGTGACACCTTTAAGTGGACTTTCATGCAGCTATGCACTAACAGGTCCTTGTGTGTATTGCCTCTACTTGTTGAATTGCTAAATTCCTTAATTGTAAGTTGCTTTGGACAAAAGACTCTGCTAAATCACTAAATGTAAATGAAAAATTAGCCCAGGTGCAGGGGTGCATTTAGATTTGTCATCGCATCATACATAGGCTTTATTTATTGTGATAAATTACTATTATTCATTATTGTCTATAGGCTACTTCAGTTATTTAAATTGCATCTTAATATTTAATATTTAATTTAAAATATTACATCAGCAAAACATGTATTTACTTCTAATTATTGTTGTCAGTGCTGACTTGTTTAGCTTATAGCCTACTGTTCCAAAAGCCTCAAACTAAACAGGAAAAAAATATAGTTCATGACAAGTTATAATACTCCTTAGACTCCTTAGGTAATGCAGTAGCATAATACAGTGAAATAATATGATTTTCATTCATTTTCCTTCAACTTAGTCTCCCTTAATTTATCAGGGATCACCACAGCAGAATGAACTGTCTAATATGATTTTGAGCCATGTCTAAACAGAATTCGCGCGTGAGTAAAATTGACCCACATTGGCAGTTTTAGGTATGAACGACTCGCGGCGCTTCTACTGTTAACAACTACCCTGAAAATCCTTACTGAACTGGCTAAAATGTCTCCAAAGACAACTCTAAAGAATTCAGTCTTCCACTTTTCTGCATTTTTGTATCCCATCAAGAAAGTGTAGGGCAATACCCCCACATGATCTCATCTGTCTGGTTTATCAGCTAGACCAGGGGTGTCCAAACTCTGTCCTGGAGGGCCGGTGACCTGCATATTTTAGTTCCAACCCCAATTAAATACAGCTGAACCAGCTAATCAAGCTCTTTCTAGGTATACTAGAAACTTCCAAGGAGGCGTGTTAAAGGAAGTTGGAGCTACAATATGCAGGACACCGGCCCTCCAGGACCGAGTTTGGACACCCCTGAACTAGACGATCAGCTCTACTAAATAAATCTGGCAAGGGTGTAAAGATCTGAATGGGAAGCTGGAGGACAGCCAGCGTCTCTGAGTCTGACCTTCTTCTCCAGGCTGGAGGTTTGGAAGGTGAGGAGGAACTTCTTGACATGGTCTTTGCGGAGCTGGTCAATACTGCGAGCGTCGATGGCACGACCCAAAAACTCATCGACCTCATCCTCGGGGTTCAACGCCTCCTGAGCACCACGGCTGCATTTAAGAGCAGAACAACAGTTTAAGGAGCATAATATGAAGCCCTTAAAAAAAAAAAAAAAAGAATAAACAATACACTCACTTGTCTTTGCTGGAGGTTTCATCAATGCCCTGTGTGAAGAGAAGCAACACTTGTCAGTCAGCAATTACTATAAAGATCTGAAATTAGTGTAGGAGGGTTAGATTTGTAGATAAATGTTTTTTTTCACTCAAAGATGAATATATTATTATTAATTATTCACTCTCATGTCTTCAATGACCTGGGACCTTTGTTTATCTTCAGACACAAATCCAGAGAGCTCTTAGATTTCATCTAAAGCATCTTAATTTGGCTTCTGAAGTAGACTGAAACAACGATAGTATAAGTAAATAATAACAGAATTAAAATTTATGTGTGAACTACTCCTTTAAAAAGTGTGGATTTTTCAGGACATACTGACGTCCATTGAAATTGTTATGTTGTGTGTTCTTTGACTGTCTGGGAAATTTTGTGACTGAATAACTGAATATAATCATATGTTGGTTAGGTTAGGCTTCATTCAGCCTACTTTCTTGCTTTCTGTCAGCTTTACGTTTAATTAGAGCTAGTAACTACAGCTCAGATCAATGTTTTGTGTCTGTTTTTTTAGTTTTGATTAAATCATCCTCCAATGTAATAAGCAGGATAATGTACATTTAGCAAGTTGCTTCCCAGAATAAGGCCCTTCAGTCTTATTTAAACCTGATTCATAGTGTGAAAACCAGCTGCATATACATTATGCATTAATTACAGTATTACACAGCTGGAATACTTAATTTGAATTAGTCAGTTGTGACAATCTATAGTATGTTATTTTGAGACAACAACTGCTGAATAACATAGGCTCATCCAGGAACTTTAAATCACCCTGTATCCCAGTGAATACGTTCACATAAATATACTTAGATCCACATTCATATGTACAGGGTTTCTGCAGGTCAAGTCAAATTTAAGACTTTTTAAGACTATTTTAAGGCCCTTATGAATAAAACTTCAGACTTAAACAAGGCTAAACCATAAGGATTTTCACTTGTCTCATTAAAAACTCTAAATACTTAATACTTTAATAAAAAACTCAATGTGTCAAAACAAGCAAACCATGCAAATACTTATTATCAATATACATTTCTTTGACAAGCTTTAAAACCTATAATAAACTAAATGTACAATACTCTATAGACACATATGATCTATAAATACATGAAGAACTTACCAATGTTATTGTGAAGAAGATAATTAAACTATACTTGTAAATAGAGTTTTTTTGTTAGATGGATTGCTTGTGACTGTATGGGTGTTGGTCTGATTGGGCAGCTTTACATAGACATTTGAAATTTCGGACCGGTTTAACATCATTTAAGACCTACAAGTCAATATTTAATTAAATTTAAGACTTTTTTACAAACCCTGCGAACACCCTGTATGTATCCGCTTGGCTGTCATACCGCAGTTTTTGACTGATTGCTGCCATCTAGTGAATGAATAATAAGTTGTTTAGTTTATGCTTGAACCAGCTGGTTTAGTTTCTGTCAACATTTTTGTCTGTTTGGTGCCATCTTGTGACTGAAAAGTGTGCAGGTTAGTGTATACTCCATCAGCTGATTTTGTTTCTGTCAGGTTTGCGTTTAATTAAAGGATTAATAAACTACTACAGCTCAGAACAATGTTAATGTCTAGTTATTCTATGCCAGTGGTTCTCAAACTTTTTTCACCAAGTACCACCTTAGAAATAAATCGTCTCTCCAAGTACCACCTTACGACGCTATTTTTTAACCAGTATTAAAAAATAGCGTCATAGGCCTAGTTAAGCAGCTACAGGTGTGCACAGTTTAAAAACGATGCAGATTACTTCCTATTATTAAGAATATGTATTATTATCAGTCACTTTAAACATTTTAAATAGTCTGAACATTAACTGTGCTTGCAGATAAAAGAAAAATTTTAGTTAAAATGTGCTTTTAAAAGTTCGTAAAAAAATGGCACTGTTCTTAAAAAGTAAAAAGAAAACTGCTGTACTTAAATCTAAAGTATTCATTGTAGCCTATTCATAAAAAGCTGGAAATGCTGCTTGGACCTTATAAATATAGGCTATATGTCATATTCCTACACTTTCAGACAAATCTTGAAATAAATGTTAAATGTACATATGACAGGGTTTATACAGGCACAGCCTAATGAAAATCAATTCCAGCACCTTTTTTTTTTTTCAAGACTGACATGCTATGTACTGAAGACCTGAAATGTATTCTCAGCAACCCATAAAACATTGCATAGGAATAGATACAAATAAAAAACATTAATAATAATATTTATTAATCATATATTAATAATATAATAAACCTGCACTAAATGCTTGTGAAATCTTTTTTGTACTCAAGTAAAAATACTATTACACTGCTAAAATACCAACATTTTTAGTAAATAATGCTAATATTAGGTAAAAGTACAAAGTACTCTTTTAAAAAGTACTAGTTGGTTACTTTTGAAAAAAAAAAATCAGATTTTCATTATGAAATCACTTTTTTTAAGTGTAAACCTGATTTAATGGTTTGATTGCTTAAATCCCAAAGCTACGTGTATAGGAATTTGCACTAAAAAAGGAAGTATGGTCGATTTTTTCTTTCATGACAACTAATCTTTTTCAATAGCACTGGTAAAACTACCAAATAATCTTTAAGGCCAGAGACACTTTTTGCCCATTTTTTAAAAAAGGTATTTTTAAGCTTTGAAAGGTTAAATTAAAATATATGGTAAAAATATTTTTATTTAGCCTTTTATTTACATATTTTACACTATTTTTCTTTACAATATGGCAAATTTGTTTCTTAAATAGCTGTCCATCACATGTAGATTTTATTTTACACTTAATCTTAACCTAAAATAGAAACTTAAAAAAAATACAAGTACACTGTCAGTAAAAAATAAAACAAATGACTTTATTTTACTTGAGGTATTTGAAATATGAAAACACTACACTTAAAGCAGTGCTTTAAGAGCCTTATTGTAAATGTTGATAAATAAACAATAAGTAACAATGGATTGCTTTGACCTGTAATGCTTTAAGACAGATCAGAATACAGCTAAATGTGTAAATCACACAAATACCTCATCCAGAAACATTTCCAGCATACTTCTTTTGTCGTAATGAAATAAAAAAGTTACACCTTTGCTAAAAGTAAGTTTCACTTCACAACACAGCCAAATAAGAAGACCATTAGCATTGTCATCGATCATGCATCAATCTATTTCTAAATACTTGATAACTTTGAATACTTTTGACTAAATTTAGTCAAGGAGCAAAGACAAATAACGTCTACTTTAATAGTGGAAAGATCGCGATTGTTTTCAATCTGAGCACACAAGCGATCATGAGAGCACTTCCAGTCCATTTGAAAAAAAGCATATTTAAGAGCTCGCATATCTGTTTTAGCGATTTGCGTACATGAATGCGCTCTAGTGTTAAAATAAAGCACTCGCCGCATTTGCAGAAATGAGTAATTGCGCAATACCTTCATTCCCGCGCCGCCATTCAGAATGTATTTAGAGGAGTGACAGGTCAGAGGCGAGTCGACTGGCTGTCGGAAAGCGAAACGTGTTTGTAGATCATCAAATAGGCAGGAAATATGTCCGCGGTTTAATTACTCTGCTAGACATCTCTATAGTGAAAACATCCGAGAAGCATTATTCCAACAAAACATTTGTTTTTAAGTTGTTTTTTCTGTCTCTGCAACACAGAAAGCCTTTGTCCCGCCCTTACATTTCACGCAACTAGACAAGGTCGACTGTGATTGGCTACTTTTCATGTCAGTCAAATGACGCTCCAGAATCAATTCTTAAACTTCGGAAACTGATTTTCAGCAGCTTATGACACAATGCACTAAAACAAACACTCTAAGCACAACGTTGTGGTCGTACGCTTCACAAAACAGCCAATGCTGATCACATCGATGGTATATTACACATTAAAGGATTAAAAGTGTTAATGTTTCTTTTATTATTCAGCGATTCCTCCGCGTACCACTAGGAGGAAGCCCACGTACCACTAGTGGTACGCGTACCACAGTTTGAGAACCACTGTTCTATGCTATTAATTGTTTTAATTAACCTTAAAAGCTTGAACTGATTACTTTTTAGTAATATCAATAGCATTTTAAATCTTTATGCACTGAATCAAGAATAGAATTCAAGAATCAGAATCAGGACATCTGAATGGACACCAGTGTTCATGTACAGGTAGAAACGGGTGTCAGATTGAGCGTGGGATGGCTTCTGTGGCTCTAACCATCTGTCTGAAGACTTTGGAGTCTTTGGTCCTGGAGAAGGATCTGTCGGGCACCCACCGCGGCACCAGAGCTTCATTAGAGTTGGTCCTCGTGCGCTGCATCTTGGCCATCATGGCCTTCTCGTCTTTCTGAAACAGAAAATTAAGGATGCATTGGTATTAATATGACTTTCATGTTATGGCAGAATATACTTACAAAAATTGTATTGTACAGTATTCTAACTTGGTTTTCATTAAAAAAAATATATATAGATATATTAAAAAAAAAAAAAAAAAAATATATATATATATATATATATATATATATATATATATATATATATATATTATATACATTACGTGCCAATATTAAAATGATTTTTATGTTATGTTACATAACCATTAAATCATCATTAGAGACCTCATCAAAAGTACAGTATTTTGACATTCATTCATTCATTTTCTTTTCGGCTTAGTTATTAATCTGGGGTCACCACAGCGGAATAAACCACCAACCTATCCAGCACATTTTTTACACGGATGCTTTTCCGCAACCCATCTCTGGGACACATCCATACACACTCATACAATTCAGCCCACCCAATTAATCTGTACCGCATGTCTTTAGACTGTGGGGGAAACCAGAGCACCCGGAGGAAACCCACACGAACACAGGAAGAACATGCAAACTCCACACAGAAATACCAACTGACCCAGCCGAGGCTCGAACTAGCAACCTTCTTGCTTTGAGGCAACAGCACTACCTACTGTGCCACTGCGTCCCCCAGTATTTTGACATGATGCTTTTAATTATTTTAACAAAATTTTCTATAATGCAATAGAAGTCTTTCCTAAATATAAATAAAAATGGCATTTATGATACTAAAATGTGTTCTTGCCAAGTCTAACTAGGTAACTAAAATAAAACTAAACTCAAAAGACTAATCAATAACTTGAAAAAACAAAAACATTTGAAAAATTAGGGATTTTAAATTTATAACTTAAAATGTCTTAAATGAATCCAGCCATTTTCAAAATTAAGTTGTGCAGTATAAAATCATAGTGATTTATTCAATCAAATTGAGAAATATTTTTAAATTAAATATTGCTAAGTTAATTACATTTTTATTTTATTTAAAAAAATCTGATCGATATAACGCTTAGGGCACAGGTGTCAAACTCAGTTCCAAAAGGGCCGCAGCTCTGCACAGTTTAGTTCCAACCCTAATTAAACACACCTGATCAAACTAATTGAGTCCTTCAGGCTTGTTTGAAACCTACAGGTAAGTGTGTTGGAGCAGGGTTGGAACTAAACTGTGCAGGGCTTCGGCCCTCCAGGAATTGAGTTTGACACCCCTGGCTTAGGATATAAATGTTTTGCAGAAAAAAAAATATCCATAATAAAAAAATAACAAAAAATATCCATAATAACAAAAATGATTAGTACAGTACAGCAGAGAAGTACAGTATTTTGACATAATTCTTGCAGTAAGATTTAAAGGACTTTTCTTGGTAGTCTTTGATAGATATAAACATATGATGGTAGAGATTCATGACAAAAATCTACAGTAGGAGGTAAATAAAAAGAAACTAATCTCAAAAGACAAACCCAATAATTTGAAAAAAATATAAATTAAATAAAAGGGATTTTAGTTCATAATTTTATGTTACAAATGTATCATGAGATTTTTCAAAATGATGATATGCAATATAAAAATAGTAATTTATTAAATTAATTTGAAAAAAAAATGTTATTAAATATTTCAAAATTAATTAAATACTTGTGTGGCGCAGTGAGTTGCACAATCGCCTCACAGCAAGAAGGTTGCTGGTTTGAGCCTCGACTGGGTCAGTTGGCATTTCTGTGTGGAGTTTGCATATACTCCTTGTGTTTGCGTAGGTTTCCTCCAGGTGCTCCGGTTTCCCCTACAAGTCCAAAGACATTGGGGTACAGGTGAATTGAGTAGGCTAAATTGTCCGTAGTGTATGAGAATGGTTGAATGTGTATGAATGATTCCCAATGGTTTAAGAAATAATTTTAAATCAAATATTTAATTAAATACTTTCCTCAATCAATTACACTAAATTGAAAAAAATCTGAATGGTATTACAGTAAGTGAAAAAGAAAAAAGTTTTGCAGAACAGAAAATATCTACAAGAACATATTCACTGATAGCAGTGACGTGTGTAGGCAGTGAAATTTGAAGAAGGTTAAAGCACGGGCATCTTTAAAATGTTTGATCATGAACTCAATCTGACTGACCCTCTTCTGACTGCAGCCCAGCACGAGGAACGTCTCAATGCTGTTCTCCTTCAGGTATGCGTTTCTCTCCCCTCCGAAACCCGGCTCCACCTCATAGTCTCCATTCAGGTACTGTAGAGTCGCTTTAGTGATGTGGATCCTCCTGAAAACCGACAGCAGGTTCAGTTGTTGCTTTAGTGAATTCAGAATTAGTATCCCTCCTGAATTATTAGCCTGTATATTTTCCCCCAATTTTTGTTTAATGGAAAAAAGATTTTTTAACCTATTTCTAAACATATTAGGTTTAATAACTCATTTTTATTAACTGATTTTTTTTTTTGCCACAATGACAGTACATAATATTTTTCAAGATACTAGTATTTAACTTGTCTTCAATGAACCTAAACGAGCACATGTCACTCCGCTGCTAGTCCGTTTGCACTGGCTGCCAGTTGCTGCTCGCATCAAATTCAAAACTCTGATGTTTGCCTACAAAGTGACTTCTGGCCTAGCACCTTCTTATCTGCACTCACTTCTGCAGATCTATGTGCCCTCCAGAAACTTGCGTTCTGTGAATGAACGTCGCCTCGTGGTTCCATCCCAAAGAGGGAAAAAATCACTTTCGCGAACGCTCAATCTGCCCAGTTGGTGGAATGAACTCCCTAACTGCATCAGAACAGCAGAGTCACTCGCTATTTTCAAGAAACGACTAAAAACTCAACTATTTAGTCTCCACTTCACTTCCTAATCTGCAATTGCCTCTGAATATCACACTAACTGTACAAAAAAAAAAAAAAACAACTACTAACACTTCCCTTCTTAGACTTTACAGACCTGAAACTTGCCTTTAGTACTTATTCATTGTTGCTCTTAGTTGTGTAAATTGCTTCCTTGTCCTCATTTGTAAGTCGCTTTGGATAAAAGCGTCTGCTAAATGACTAAATGTAAATGTAAATGTAAATGTTAACTGCAAGTGCATTTTAAAGGCTTTCAGCAGGGGTCACCAAACTTGTTCCTGGAGGGCCAGTGTCCTACAGATCTTAGCTCCAACCCTAATAAACACACCTGAACAAGCTAATTAAGGTCTTACTAGGTCACAGGTGTCAAACTCAGTTCCAAAAGGGCCCAGCTCTGCACAGTTTAGTTCCAACCCTAATTAAACACACCTGATCAAACTAATTGAGTCCTTTAGGCTTGTTTGAAACCTACAGGTAAGTGTGTTGGAGCAGGGTTGGAACTAAACTGTGCAGGGCTTCGGCTCTCCAGGAATTGAGTTTGACACCCCTGTACTAGGTATACTTGAAACATCCAGGCAGGTGTGTTAAAGCAAGTTGGAGCTAAACCCTGCAGGGACACTGGCCCTTCAGGACCAAGATTGGAGACCCCTGACTTACAGTAACTAGGTTATTAAAGCAACCTAGGCAAGTAATTGTATAACAGTGGTTTGTTCTGTAGACAACTGAACTAAAATATTGCTAATGATATTAAAAAAAAATATATATTTTATTCTAGCCAAAATAGAACAAACAAGACTTTCTCCAGAAGAAAAAATATTCTAAGAAATACTTTGAAAATTCTTTGCTCTGTTAAACATGATTAAACAAAAAAAATTATTTTAAGGAAGGCTAATCATTTTGACTTTAGCTGTATGAAGTGTGATTGTGTGTGTGTGTGCCGCACCCAGCTTTGCCTCCAGCTTCCATGTGGTTGGCGAGTGTTACGTCGTTGGACCACACATCGAATTGCCATTTTCTCAATCCAAGAACACCACAGTGAACACGACCGCTGTGAATACCCACCCGCATGTTCACGTTCACCCCCGTCACCTCTCGCACCAGACTATAGCCAAAACAGTAAACATGGAACACAAAAATCACAGATGCTACAACTGTATATTTACAATTATACAACTTATCAATGATTTATTTAAACTCTAATTAATTTTAGAATTTAAATAGAAAAAAATGAATTTAATAATTTTATTAAAAACAACCTTTTTTGTTTTAATTGTTTTAATTGTTGCTATGAGATAAAATTTTTACATGTTTAATTTAGCTTTGAAAAATAATAAATAATAATAAAACAATAAAAACAAATTTAATTTAATATAATTTAGGATATTTTTGTTGGTAAGCCCACATTTCAAGTTTTTTTTATCTAATATCCATATTTTCTATTATTTAATTTTAGCTTTATTTCAATGAACAAAATATTACTAGACTTTGACAGATTGTAATGATTTTAGTTCACAATAACAACCCTCGCAGCAATCATGTAATTATTAGAATTGTTTAAAAAAATTAGTTTTTAATGAAAAAAATAACTATTACAAAATAATAGAGTTTTTACACTGGCCATTTCAAAAGTTCACACTTAGCTGATGATTGATAATAAAGCTTGCTTGGCCTGCTGTCCCAGGAGAGAGCCCTGACCTATGAGATCCTCGAGCCCTGGGCACCCTCCCATTTACAGGTAGATCTCAGGTAGATCTCGATGAACTCCTCCGACTTATTTCTGGCTAATGACAGATATAGGATGGCTAAAGAAAGATGTACACTTGCTAAGAGCTTGGCTTTTGTATCAATTTGGTAAGTTCAATTTGTTTTTGGACTGTGGGAGCAAACTGGAAAACCCAGGGAAAACTCCTTGGGTTATTTATAATGAGTTAGGAATCATCTAATTGGTGAATCAATTATGAGCTGATGCATGAGCATCTGTGATTAATCATAAGCATGTGATCCTCTCGAAATTAGTTTATAAATAAACTTCACTTATTTGATAATAAATCTGAATCGTTGTCATCTCTTTTTTCTTAGCTAATAATAATAATAATTACTTACAATTATATAGTGTTTTTCTGAACACTTAAAGTGCTTTACACATTTCTGTAATTTCTGTAATGAGCAATCTCCTTATTCACTACCAGTGTGCAGCATCCACCTGGATGATGCGACGGCATGCATATTGTGTCAGACCGCACCCCACACACCAGCTGATTGGTGGAGAGGAGACAGAGTGATGAAGCCAATTACGATATGGGGATGGTTAGGGGGACATGATGGACAGAAGCCAGTGGGTAAATTTGGCCAGAAAGCCGGGGTTAGACCCCTACTTATTTTTGAAGGACATCCTGGGATTGGACCTCGGTCTAACGTCTCATCTGAAAAACGGCACTCATTGGGCAGTATAGAGTCCCCATTAATATATACTGGGGCACTTCCAGCAGCAACCTGGCTTTCCCATGTAGTCTCCCATCCAGGTACAGCTTGGGTGCTGCCCTGCTTAGCTTCAGTGGGCAACTATGTGAGAGTTACAGCTTCCGGCAAGCTAGCTGTATTTCTATAATAATCTACTTTATTCAGCTTAATTCTTTTTTTAATTTTACCTTTAATAAATCTAGGGGCGCCGATGTGTTGCTATTTTCAGACTATCGCAAGCTTAATTTTCCCATTTTTTTCCATCCTTAAAGAAGCAAAAGTGGATTTGGACATGCCCTAAAGCTTTTGAGCCATGTGCTTTAGACTTTGCACCTATATCGTTAAAATAGAGCACTAGTTGGTTAGGCAACAATTCTGATATTACAGATATCAGATTTGAAGATTTGAAGTGTCTTTAATGTTTCAGAAACATTTTGAGAAGACAAAAGGAAAGAATATAAATACAATAATATTCTATGATCATTTAACTGAATATATTTATGTGAAAATGAAATACATACAATATAAAGAAAGAGTGAACAGTAAATGTTATTATATTTTGTTATTATATCGTGGTAAAAAATTATGTAAAAAATTGGTTTTAATCTAAAAAATACACATTCTAATGTAAGAGAAAACTTTATAAAATACTATATATAACTATAATACACTTTTTTGTGTGTGTAGATGAGAGCTAAGCAAGACTCACGAAATGGCTTCGATCATGTCGACCCCCATCTCCACACAGCAGTGAGCATGATCTGCTCTGGGCTCCGGCAAACCAGACACACAGTAATAACAATCCCCTAGAATCTTGATCCGCAAGCAGTGGTTCTCCTGCACACACACACAGAAAGAGAGAAGTTAATAATAGCTTAAACAGGTTCACACTCAGGTGTAAAAAGAGGCTGGTCAATCTGCTTAGCAGTGTTAGACACATTGCTTTAAAAAAGTAATTATTGATAGTTACTAGTTACGTCTCATAAATAGTAAATATGTAGACAGTAAAGTTTATTTATAACGCGTTACTTCCATCACTTCTGGTGTTTGTGCGATACATTTACACTCGCAAATACCAATAAAGCCTCTTCAAGACAACAAACAAAAGCTTTATGAGGAAACATGACGGCGAAAACCCGATCTTAAATGAAGTCGAAGCAGAATCAATCACTGTAGGCCTCAGAGCAACACAGCCCTGTTCAACTCAATATTTGAGTAAATGATACATAAATGCTGTTACTTGATCAAATACTGAATAAATGATTGTTTTAAACAAATCATTTTAGTGATTAATTCAATGACTCTCCTATTATAGAAGGTTCTTAATAGGTTCAAATTGTTTTCAAATCAATAATTCAAGTGAACAATTTAATAACTTACTAAGAATAACAGTCCTGGATGTAGGTTGTAGGTTCCTGATGAATTTATGTTTTTAAAATAATCACTTGAACAAATGATTCATTGACTCACTTATAAGACATCTATTAGGTTCCTGAATGAACTATTGTTTTAAAAATAATCATTTAAGAAAACAATTCAGTGACTCCCTTATTATAACTATCATTTTTCAGGTTCCTGATGAAATTCTTGTTTTTGAGCCAATCATGCAAGCAAATAATTCAATGACTCACTCATAATAACAGTCAATTGTTTGGATCCTAAATGAATAAGCATTTTAAACAAATCATAAATAATTCAGTTACACTTGATATTAAGATGTGTTTTTAAAAAATCCAATCACAAGTTGTAATTGGGTCTAAAATATTTGCAACAGATTTGATTTCTGATATGACCATCGATATTTTATGCATCACAAAAATGTGACCCTGGCCATCGACCTTTGCTTTTATGGCAAAAAACATTAGAATTTTAAGCAAAGATTATGTTCCCAAAAAAATGTATTTATTTTCTTGTATTTGTATTTGAAAATGTATTTTATTTTTTATATCTTTGTAAATTTAATATAGTACATATATCAAAAACTTGATTAGCTAGAATCTGATTAGCTTGAGAAGCTAGAAACTTCAATTGGAACTTTATTTGACCCTTAATTTTAAGCTTTGTGGTCACAAATATAGATTTCTTTGAATCACAATAGTTAATTTTGCAGATAATTCTGCAACACAAAAACATCTGAAAAACATCTTTGGAGCATGCGTTATAAATCATTCTTACCGATGCTAGTTTGTCAAAGCGGGCGAACAGCTCGTTTAGAGTCATGACCAGCTCCTGAGCAGTGCACTGAGACGCCAGACTAGTGAATCCCTCGATGTCTGCAAACAGAATACTGACACAGAGAGAGAGAAAGAGAGAGAGAGAGACAGAAATAGATTAAACAAAATTACGTACAAAATTATCTTGTGTACTTCTATTGTTTGAGAAACACTCAACTTTAAACATTTGAGATTTATCATTTTTAAATCCAGTTAGCTGATCTCCAGGTCTGCTAGGAACACTTTTAGCTTAGCTTAGCACCATTAGCATTTAGATAATTGTCCTATTTAAAGCTTGAATTTGTAGTTACATTGTGTACTAAAAATGATGAAAAGTAAAGATCAATAGAAAAGTCAAGCTTTACATTTAATTTTTTTTTTATAATGAGCCTTTAGACCAGGGGTGACCAACCCTGTTCCTGGAGAGCGACCTTCCTACAGATTTCAGTTGCAAGCCATATCAAACACACCTGTGTGTAATTATCAAGTGCTGTTCAGGTCCTAATTAATTGGTTCAGGTGTGTTTGATCAGTGTTGGAGTTGAACTTTGCAGGAAGGTTGATCTCCAGGAACAGGGTTGAGCACCACTGCTATAGATTCATTTTGATGAATGTAAACAATAACAATGGTCCTAATTTATTTCCTGTTTTGCATTTTTAATTTCCAGATATCAATAAATTATGTAATGACAGCTGTTTTAATTTAATGATACGATTACACTCATAAAATAGTGAAATAGTTTGAGAACAAGCAGAAAATGTTCATGGGCCAATGGCATCACCACACATGCTCCTGTAATAAAATGCTTTTGTAATATAGATAAAAAATAGAGTTAATAGAGACACATTATACTTAACAAAGAAAATTCTGTGAGCAAAACGGTCAATAGTTTCATCTTTTTATGGTGGAGAAGTAGCTGAGATTGGGAATCACTTGAGCTGTTGCATTCACTATGGCTGTGTAGTAGCAGACGCTGTGGAGCACTTTAATTGAATCATGGCTTCATTTCGCTATCTTCTAGGGTTAGCACTAGCGTGGTGACTGATAATTAACTATTGGCTCTCTCACCATCATTAGCTGACCACCTTTCAAAAGAAAAGCCCCACTGCTCCCATTAGCAGTTGCCAGAGGTGGAGTAGAAAAAGCTCAACAGAAAAAGTCAAGATAAGAAAAGAAAGAAACACAGGGCAACAAGAAATTATAAAAGCAGAATAGCTTAGTTAAAGGCTAATGCTAATGGTCAAAGGAGGTTCCAAATGGTCTTCAATAATAACATGTTTGAATGAGTAGGATACTGATTTCCTACATAAACTTTTTTCTGAGACTAAATTTCTTAAATCAATCTAGCAAATGGCTAGCAACCACCCAGATGATCATGGCCAATACAAAGCAACCACCCATCAAAGGGCTATGAAAGCCTCCTCTTTCGGTTCAAGTCCACCTCAGAATTTCTCAAAAAATGCTCCGAGATGGGCGTGGAGTGCTGCGAGCAGAGAGAGGAGCGAGCATGGCCAGCTGAACAATGGAAAAAGAGAGGAGCAAACAACTGTTGTCAGTTGGCTCACAAAATGAGACACAAACCATAAGGAGATGCATAATTTTATAGTTAACAAAGTTAAAATGCAAAGAAATAAACAGTGATTTAATGCCCTGCTACATTTGTTTTTCTAATTTCATAGACACATAAACACAATTTGTTATATCATTATAAATATAACCATGTAAACTCTCTAAACAAGGAGGACTACTCTCCTCCTGAATACCCGGGTCTGAATGCAGACACAGAGGACAGCAGTGCAGCAGGTCTCTTGCCCTGTCTATTTCAACTATTAACCCTGCCATTAATCTGGAGGATTTTAAAAGTAGACAAACATAGCAGCACATATATAAACGATGTGTCTGAATGGTAACGAACTAAACTGATAAAAGACAAAGTTTGTGATTCTCCAATTCTAGTACAGCTCTCTCGACAAAGATGCTTGCTGCAAACCAACAGCTTTGCTGTATCAGTCCTGACAGAATCGCGGGGAATCACATGCAACAAGCTACGTCAAATATGGAAACAGACAAACGTTACAACTCTCCATGAACGCCTAAATACTGCTTTGCCGTACGCGGACACGGTCTCACCCAGTCATTTGGTCTCACAGCTTGGCAGGTCTGCCTTGCCTTCATGCTTGCACATGCTCTCATAAATAATTAATATGCAGGGTCTTCTCATAGAATAAAAAACTCTGCTATAAATAATAATGAGAAATCGACGCATCATCACTCCAGTAGCAGATTTGCGCTACGTCACAGGTTTTGTTTCCACCCCAAAAATTATTTTAAACCCGGAAAATGAAATTAGATGACAAAAGCTTAAAATCAACCAGTTTTCCATGAAATTAAAGCTAACAGATGCATCTAGTAACTACAGTACATAACAATAAACACATAACAGATGAACAGCACAAGCTTTGTGATTGGTCGGCTTGGTAGCGCTGACAAGTGTGGGCAGGACCAAGAGCAATAACTTTCAAGCTGTTTCAGACTTGACGATTTCAAGTCTGACTTCAAGATTTCAAGATTTGACAACTATCAAACTTTCTACCTTGCCAGGCCAATAGAAGAAACCCTTGGCATGGTTTGACGTGTGACAGTGATGCTCACCTGACATTGTCGTGCTTCTGGATGTAGATCTTGTGAAACATCATGTCTTCTTTTTTAGCGTTGATGTCAGCCTTCATCTCCATGGCAACATGCCTCGGCAAGACAGACAGCAACAGGCGCTCCTGAAAATGGTAGAGGAGAGAAAAGAAGAGAGAGAATGTGTGAGCGATATAGAAAGAAAGATTACAGTGCAATTCTTTCACTGAAGACCAAACATCCTTTCAAACATCGGCATCAGAGTTCATATATACAGGTGACTAGATTATATTTTATTACACCTCTGTATGAATTATAAACAAAGAGTAATGGCAATTGAAAGGTGTTCTCAAAATGAGCAAAACGTTCAATAGTGCAGTATAAATAGCATCATGAAAGTATATGTTAAATTGGCATGACAGTAAAGTCAGTGTTAGTCTTAAGGATAAATATATAAGCTAGAGTGCTACAAAACAGTCATACAATTCCGATTGTAAGATATAAACATCCAAAGCTTGCAGTTTGTCACTTTCACCTAAATAGTTGAAGTATTTTAAAATTTTTTATGTCACCTCATGCTTCAGGTTCCCAACAAATCTTCTGACCAATCAAATGCTCTCTAGTTTCTCCCAAGACCCACCCCTTCCTGACACTATTGCTATTTGCACTTGAGCTCAACCACTTTCAATGGAAGAGCTGTGATAAAAACAAATGCTATTGCTCGGTACAAATGCTAGGTAGCCCCACAGCAAGAAGGTCGCTGGTTCGAGCATCAGCTGGGTCTATCGTGTTTCTGTGTGAAGTTTGCATGTTCTCCCTGTGTTCGTGTGGGTTTCCTCTGGGTGCTCCGGTTTCCCCCACAGTCCAAAGACATGCGGTATGAGGTGAATTGGGTAGGCTAAATTGTCCGTAGTGTATGAGCGGGAATGAGTATGTACAGTATTTCAAAAATTTTAAATAAAGAATGGATTGCTTCTCTATGGCCAACCTTAATAAAAAATAAATAAATAAATAAAAAAAGGTTTCATAGATGAAAATGTTGACCAAACATTATAATGATGTTCACAAAATGATACAATCAAACATTTTGCTAATGTTCACATAAGAAAAACACAATTAATTTATTTATTTAAGGATATTTTAATCTTAAAAAACATTTGAATTTACTGTTTTTGTCTTATGTGAATTTTATTTTTGTATGAAAACCTTCAAATGTAACATTAACATAAACATTTATAAAAAAGTCACATTCACATAAAAAGTTGACACATTGCATGTTTTAAATGTGAAAAGAACATTCAAAACTTTCTAAATTAAAAAAATGTTTTAATAAAAAAATTCTTAAATATACAACAATTAAATGTAACATACCTCTCAATAATACTGTAACAATACTTAAAATAATGTTTTTTTTTAAATGGCAGAACTCAATTGTCCTTTAATATCTGACTAATAAACATGTTGTTTATAAATTAAAAAAGATATTTTAAACAATTAAGTCGAAAACAAATTTTTCATGTTTTAAAATGTCAAAAACAAACATTTTTAAAATAAAAAATGGTTGTTTTGAATTTTGATATAACATTTACATGTAACATTCTAATAATGTTTTCAAAATAATAAGAATGGAGCTGGGGTCCGTTCTTCGTACGTGGATTACTCAGTTAGCTGGATTTGGATATTGACGATTTGATACGATCCAGGATCGTTTCGTTCTTCAAAGCTGATCCGAGAGTTGTTGTCATGGCAACAGTTCTGCTAGGTCAAACCTGATCGGGAGCAGGTTCAATTCATATAAACAGGATTAGATTGGCTCAGTTCAAGCAAAGATAATACAGAAAGTATGTTCCGAATTCTGATATTTTCTTACAGTAAAAGTTATATACACTTGGGAAAATGGTACATATTTTTAAACTATATATATATAAAGTTATAGTCATTAATAAATAAAGTTATACATATTAATAAAATGTATGGAATCTGCACCCCCGAAATGAAAATACAAAGACTGCCATCTGGTGCAAAGAGAAAACTTATTGATATGAACTTTTTAGATCGCTTTAGTACAAATTGTGTATAATAGAAATGCACAATATGTGACTTTTTTTTAAAAGCAATAATACATTTATGCAGTCATAAACATGTTTTGATAGTTAATATGCCAGTGATTTGATGCTTCACAAAAGTTGCAGACACCTTTACCAATATGAAAATGCTTTTGTAAACAACCAGTTATTCTTTACACCGATTAAAAAACGGCTACTATTATAAAGAAAATCTTTTCTAAATGTGGAACTAAATACATTGACTTGCATTGAAATACATGAAGAATACACTTGTCTTGACACATGAAAGTGTAAAGCCTGCAGCTCACAACAAATGTGGAAAGTTCTTGCGTGTCATATTTAACAAGCCGTTTACTGCTAATTTGATGTAATTTTGCTCACATGGATAATTGAATATTAATCAGATGATGTCATTACGCTGCTGTGCCGTCAGCCAATCGTTGCATTGCTGATCATGATTTCGAGGATCGATAGATCTGTCCTTCACAACACACGCAGCGATCTCAGATCAGTTCATCCAGACATTCTATTCTGATTCGCGAACTTGTTTGAAGAACCAAATTAGCGAGAGATCAGTTATCAAGATGAAAAGATCCAGAATCTGCCAAATAATCTTAGATCATTTAAGCGAGTCACGAAGAACGGTCCCCTGGGGTCCGTTCTTCGTACGTGGATTACTCAATTAGCTGGATTTGGATGTTGACGATTTGACACGATCCAGGATCGTTTCGTTCTTCAAAGCTGATCTGAGAGTTGTTGTCATAGCAACAGTTCTGCTAGGTCAAACCTGATCGGGAGCAGGTTTAATTCATATAAACAGGATTAGATCGGCTCAGTTCAAGCAAAGATAATACAGAAAGTATGTTCCGAATTCTGATATTTTCTTACAGTAAAAGTTATATACACTTGGGAAAATGGTACATATTTTTAACTATATATATATAAAGTTATAGTCATAAAATAAATAAAGTTATACATATTAATAAAACGTATGCAATCTGCACCCTTGAAATGAAAGTACAAAGACTGCCACCTGGTGGTGCAAAGAGAAAACTTATTGATATGAACTTTTTAGATCGCTTTAGTACAAATTGTGTATAATAGAAATGCACAATATGTCACTTTTTTTAAAGCAATAATACATTTATGCAGTCATGAACATGTTTTGATAGTTAATATGTCAGTGATTTGATGCTTTACAAAAGTTGCAGACGCCTACCAATATGAAAATGCTTTTGTAAACAACCAGTTATTCTTTACACCGATTAAAAAACGGCTACTATGATAAAGAAAATCTTCTCTAAATGTAGTACTAAATACACTGATTTGCATTGAAATACATGATGAATACTCTTGAAACATGAAAGTGTAAAGCCTGCACAACAAATGTGGAAGGTTATTGCGTGTCATATTTAACAAGCCGTTTACTGCTAATTTGATGTAATTTTGCTCACATGGATAATTGAATATTAATCAGATGATGTCATTACGCTGCTGTGACGTCAACCAATCGTTGCATTGCTGATCATGATTTCGAGGATCGATAGATCTGTCCTTCACAACACACGCAGCGATCTCAGATCAGTTCATCCAGACATTCTAATCTGATTCGCGAACTTGTTTGAAGAACCAAATTAGCGAGAGATCAGTTATCAAGATTAAAAGATCCAGGATCTGCCAAATCATCTTAGATCATTTAAGCAAGGTACGAAGAACGGACCCCTGGGGTCCGTTCTTCGTACGTGGATTACTCAGTTAGCTGGATTTGGATATTGACGATTTGACACGATCTAGGATCGTTTTGTTCTTCAAAACTGATCTGAGAGTTGTTGTCATAGCAACAGTTCTGGTAGCTAAAACCTGATCAGAAGCAGGTTCAATTCATATAAACAGGATTAGATCGGGTCAGTTCAAGCAAAGATAATAGAGAAAGTACCGAATTATGATATTTTCTTACAGTAGTAGTTATATACACTTGGGAAAATAGTAAATATTTTTAACTATATATATATATAAAGTTACAGTTATTAATAAAATAAATAAAGTTATATTAACAAAACGTATGCAATCTGCACCCTCGAAATGAAAGTACAAAGAGAAAATTTATTGATATGAACTTTTTAGATTGCTTTAGTACAATTTGTTGTGTATGATAATAGAAATGCAGAATATGTGAAAAATATTGCTGATCATGATTTCGAGGATCGATAGATCTGTCCTTTACAACACACACAATGATCTCAGATCAGTTCATCCAGACATTCTAATCTGATTCGCGAACTTGTTTGAAGAACCAAATTAGCCAGAGATCAGTTATCAAGATTAAAAGATCCAGGATCGGCAAAATCATCTTAGATCATTTAAGCAAGGTACGAAGAACGGACCCCTGTTCACATTCACATAAAACCAAATATATATATATACATTGGGAAAATAGTAATTTCTATTAGTGTTACTAATACTAATTCTAGTAGTGATTTCTAATGCATGGAACTCACTGAAATTCCATGCATTAGAAATCACTGAATATTCCAGGAATTCCATTCAATTAAGACTGTCACATTTTCACTATAAAAATAAAATGGTTTATAAATGATTTACATATTTAGAGTAAAAAAAAAAAAATAATAAAAGAACATGTAAAAATGTATCATCTTTCAAATTGAGTTTTTGGCCAATGTATCACACTTAAAACTTGAACATAGCGAGGCGGAGAGAGAGATAGTTTGTAACATTGAATCCACTGAAGGCAAACTGAACCCAAGTGCAGTTTATTTTACAACTGAGCAAATTCAAAACAAACAGAACTAAGCGATGACGTAAATTACACTCGACCTAAACAAACCCGACCAGAAACTATAACAGAAGTCACTAACAGTATGCTACAGTCAACAAAGCTCAACAAGAGACACGGAAAACATGAGAGCCATAAATATACATGAGCTAATGAGTTAACGAGGAACACCTGAAAACAATTAAGAGAAAAACAGAAACACGATGAGACAAAGCTGCACAGAAGACTTGCCCTGCATCTGAACATCTCTGTTTTATAGTGTGCAAAAAAACTGTTTGTTGGCAGA